GGAAGAGGACAACAACAGCTTGCAGAGTGGATCTGGGGAAGGCAACTTCCCCAGCTGAAGTGACAAATCACAAAGTCTAGGTGGAGCAAGGGGAAGCAACTTGCATCACACAGCCTGACTCGGATGCCGGAGTCTGTGGCCTGTTTCATTCTGAGCTCTGTAGTTCACCCTGCTTTTGTGGAAACATAGTTACTTCAGTTGAATTTCTTTCATTGTGCTTGTTACTCTCCTGTTGTCTGCTCTACTTGCTTACTCTGCATGAATTAGCTGCTACCTGCACAGTCAGGACAGCGTGCTGAAGGGATCCAGTTGTCTCAGAAACGATGTTTAAATTACTAATACAGGAAAAAAAAAAAAAACAAAAACATTCCTGCTATTCACCCTTTATATTAAACCCAGCATCACTACTGATTTGAGTTTGCCTCCAAAATAATGCCTTAAAAGCTCTTCCCAGTTCATGTTCCTGGCTATAGCACAGCAAAACAGACTTTTTTTAGTTAAACTATGCATGATAGTTCCTTTAAGAGAACATCTTCTCTGGCTGTTGGCAACAGGCCATCCATTATAGGTGAAATGACCTTCTTTCCATTCTGAAACCCATGAGAACACACAAACTAATCTTTGAGTTCTCTGCCAGCTCTTTTGTCTTCTGTGCCATGATGCGGTTGTGGTTCAGCTACTGTGCGTGCTGCATCGTAGCTCTGGGCAATGAGGTTTGGAGGCGTTAAACTGAGATGCCATTCGCCCTAGAGGACTGCTCCAAGGAGGATTTCAAATGGGAAAGGTCATAGGAGGTCAGAGTGTTTTATTTCAGCACTCTGCTGATTTGTTCTTCTCCTCATGTCAGATTTTTCTTTCAGGATGGAGTTCTCTGCCTTGCAGTTCTTATGGCAACCTGACACAGTGCATACATAGCCTTGTTTTTGTGTTCCAGTGTGTGGCAGGGCCCTGCTGCATAAGATAAGCACAACATCAGGGGAGAGACAAAGGATAGATGGCTAAGAAGCATCAGACTGTGGTCTGTTTTCTGCAAGCCATCAGTTCACAGCTGGAGGTTGTGTGAGAATCATAGAATTGCTGAGGTTGGAGAAGACCTTAAAGATCAATGAGTCCAATCATGACCTAACAACCTTCCATTAAATCTTCTCCCTGTGCACCACATCCAAATGGTTTTTAAACACATCCAGGATTGTGACTCAACCACCTCCCAGGGAAGCCTGTTTCAGTGCTTAACAACCCTTTCTCTAAAGAAGTTTTTCCTGATATCCAATCTTAACCTCCTGTGGGGCAACTTAGGGCCATTTCCCCTTGTCCTGTCACCAGTGAGAAGAGACCAGTCCTGCTCTTGCTGTAAGCACCCTTCAGATATTGGAAGAGAACATTAAGGCCTCCCTTTTTCCCCAGACTGAGCAGCCCCAGTTCCGTCAGTTGCTCCTCCTTTCACAAGCCTTATTGCCCTTCTTTGGACCTGCTCCAGCCTCTGTGTCCTTTCTGTACTGAGGTGTCACAACTGAACACAATACAGTGGGTGAGGCCTTGACTTAAGGCAGGACAGCCCTAGTCCTGCTCACCACACCATTCCTGATACAAGCCAGGATGTCCTTGGCCTTGGCCACCTGTGCACACTCCTGGCTCATATTCAGCTGACTGTCCCTCAGTACACTATGGTCCCTTTCCCTTAGGCAGCTTTCCAGCTGTTCCTTCCCAAGCCTGCAGGATTGCTTGGGGTTGCTGTGAACAAAATGCAGGACCCAACACTTAACCCATGGTATTCTGTACCCTATCCTTATGAACATAGCCCCCTGTGCTAGTATAAGGGATAACAAATCTTACTCTTAAAGACTGAGGCAAAGATGGCATTGAGTACCTCAGCCTTATCCTGATCATTGGTCACCAAGTTGCCCTTGGCATGCAACAAGGGATGGAGATTCTCTCTAGCCCTCCTGTTGTTGATGTATTTATAAAAATATTTATTGTTGTTCTTTACTTTAGTGGCCAAGTTCAGTTCTAGCTGGGCTTTGGCTTTTCTGATTTTCTCCCTGCATATCTTTACTGTATACCTGCACTCACTGTGAGTAGCTTGCCCACTATTCCAGAAACTATAAGCTTTCCTTCTGCTCTGGTTCAGCCAAAGGTCTCTGTTCAGTCAGTCTGGCCTCTTTGCCTGTTGGCTTGTCTTCTTGTGACTTGGGGATGATCAGCTCCTGCACTTTCAAAATAACTTCCTTAAAGCATTCCCAGCCTTCCTGGGCTCCCATGATCTCCAAAACTACCTCCCAAGGGACCCTCTCAACCATAGTCCTAAAGAGGTTAAAGTCTGCCCTTCAGAAGTCCAAGATGACAGCTCTGCCAACTCCCCTCAGTGATTCAGCAAGGATTGAGGAAATCTAGCATCTCATGATCACTGTGCCCCAGATGGCCTCCAACCTTTACATCCTCTGCAAGACCTTCTCAGTTAACAAACAGCAGGTTCAGGATTTTGCTTCCTCTTGCTGGCTCCTTCACTAGCTGTGTCAGAAAGTTATCTCCGCACACTCTAGGAACCTCTGGGGCTGTTCCCTATCTGCTGTATTATAAATCCAGCAGATGTCTGGGAAGTTGAAGTCCCCCACAAGAACAAGAGAGAGAGACCTCACCCAACTGTCTGAAAAGAGCTTTATCCACCTCTTCATCTTGGCTGGGTGGCCTGTAGCAGACTCCTCTGATAATATCAGTCTTATTGACCTTTCCTTTTTTTTCTGTTCCGTAAGCTCTCAACCCTATTATCACCATCATTCATTTCTGTACACGTTTTTTTCTTAACATAGAAGGTTACGCCACGGCCTTTCCTGCCTTGCCTGTCTCTTACAAAATGTTGGTAGCCATCCATTGCAGCACTCCAGCTAAGTGAGTAATTCCAGAGTCATTCCACCATGTTTCCATGATGGCCTCCAGCTCCTCCTGTTTATTACCCATGCTGTGTGCATTAGCGTAAAGACACCTGAGCTGGGCCCCCTTTTGAGTGGCTGTAATCATAATACCCTCATGACCATACTTAGGTATTTCCATAGCCACCAAGCTCACACCAACCATCGTGTTTTTCCTACAAAAGGGTGAGCTGTCCTCCTTAATCAAGACTCAAGACTGTGGGATCTTATTAGCACATCCCTCTCCTACAAGCACTGGGACGTTACATACAGGCTCCGTTCCAGTGATCCCAGTTACACCTCCCCGCCCACCTTTGTACCTAGTTTAAAGCTCTATTAGTGAACTTTCCCAATTCCTGTCTTAAGACCCCTTTGTGCTGGTGAGAGAAGCTACTCCTCTCGGTTACCAGCAGGCCTGGTCTTGTGCAAACAGAGCAGAGGTCAAAAAAAGAGTTGCAGACTGTTCTTAATTTCCCAGGGGACTGTGATTACTTGATAGAGCAATCAAAGGAGGAAAAGTAAAGCAATAAATCTATGTTCAGAGTTCAGCCTAAATTTTTTTCTGATTATCGTAAAGAATTTTACTTCAGTTTCACAAAAATCATCTGTGGATAGTTTTTCCTCAGAAGAGTTAGGTTATCCCTCACCTGAAGAGAAGAAACATTGATAAATTCTCCACTATGCACTGTTTCAGTACCTATTCAGTTCTGTGTAACCCATTTCTACAACAAACCTGATCTTGAAGGAAACCTCTACTAAAGGAAGATCCACAACTTTTGTGTGGTTACGTGCAGCCCTTATTGGCATTAGATTGCCTGGCTTAATGTCTTAAAAATGTCTGCTGCTGTTGTGGGGAGAAAATAAGAGCAAGACCTCTTGTTTCCTGCCCAGTTATCCTATCTTAACCAGGTACAGCTTCTGGCTAAATACTTGGTGGCAAGAGAAGGAAGAATTCTAACCTCTTCCGCTGAGACCTGTCAGCTATGCTATACATTTCTAACACATGTTTCTGTGGAATCTCATCAATTTCACTGTGACAGCAGGAGACAGGGCCATTCTTTAGTGCTGTAAAGTCAGATAACACCCATGGCTATCTGAGATGAAATTGGAGCATTCTGGCCTGTAGCTTATTTCACGCTATCACCTTTCTCTTCTCCCCTCTGTCCTAACTCCTGTGGAATGTTATGGTCAGAGATTGACTCTGACAAAGGTCTAGGTTATCAAACCTGCTGAGACACTTAACCAGGTGTGTTTCTAATTCCACCAATGAAATTCTGCTGATATCTTGTTCCTAGCACTTCTGCTGAGCTGTGTGTACAGAGCTATGCAGGGAGCTGCCTTCTGGATGGGAACAGCTTGGAGTCTGGATCCAAGCAGTAGCCACTGAAGTGTCAGAATAGATCTTCACAAACTTCAGGTTCTTCGCTGGCGAGGCCTAGTTGTACTCTTTCAAATTAAATGTTTGGAAAGCAAAAGCATAGATGCAGGAAGTATTTTTCCTCAGGTGTATGAAGTGCTTGGCTAATGTGTCAGCAAAGAGCTGTGCATCATGTTTTAGTAGAAGTGGAGATTAAAATCTGGCTCCTGTAATGCGCGAGTGACCTGAGCATCTCTTTCAGAAATAGAAATAATGACTTGAGAGCTCTGCCTCCTTAACATGTGGGTGACAGTGGCTTAAGAGGAGCTGGAGGGGGGGTTTCAGGTCCCTGCGATGTATTGGGGAGCACGCTGATCCCTTTCTTAGGCAAATCTTCCTACAAATCATTTCTTCTCCATGATGGCAGGCATTGCTCTTCTGATTGCTGCAGTATTTAAGACAGTGTGTTTAAGGGACATTCAAGAATTTTAGAGGCGCAATCTAAGGCTAATGGAGTGGGAAATCAGATGGAACTGAAACATGAACTTCTGGATTATTTGCAATTTCAAGAATGGCCTTTGCCTTGCTCCTTTTTAGCATTCTCTGTTTGTCCCACTTGTTTGACTATAGTAGAATAGAAGGAAAGAGGTAAAGCTTAGTTTTTTCAGATTTAAAATGTGCATTAGGAGTAAACTTCTACTGAGATAAACCATGGGAACGTGGGGCTGTGTGCAGTGTGGATGCACTCACACTGGAGGTTGGCTACGTGGTCTGGGTGAGCTGTGGCTGTGCAGTGACAGTTTGGGCCCCAGCTCACACAGGCTTCACGTCTGCCTGGTCTGTGGATGTTTTGCAATCCAGTCCTTGCTTAGTTCTGGGCTGAGCTGAAGAGCGTCTTCTGTCCTTGCAGCGTATCTGGGTTACAGTGGTTACTGCGGTGTGGTCAAACTCAGGACCTTTGCTTTACTTTTGCACACAGCAGGCAGCGTTGTACTCCTATTCTCATGCTGATAAAGGCTTGGGGAGAAGAGCGTGGTCTTGTGCAGTGTTGCTGCTAGTGCTCGCTTCAGTACCAGCAGATTTTACAGTCTCCCAGATTGTAGTTAGATTTTGAAATCTGGATAACGTCAGCTGCTGAAGCACCAACACATGCATCAACTCTGTAAAGTCTCCTCCTCAGTGAGAGTGTACAGAAGTATGTAAGAACACAAGTACACATATAGCACAGGAGCCTCAGAACTGATGAATACAGCCTGGTTGGTTGGACTGCAAACAACTACAGTAGTTGAAGAGCACTTGTTAGCCATTCTGCCACAGAACACAAGGATGTACCAGAAGGGAATGTCAGGACCAATTTTTCCAGTTTATGTGCAGGGATGGTTGCCAGGCTTGGCAGGAGCAATTTTATGTTATTGCTTCCTACAGTGTTCTTGTATTCAATGGACTTTAATCTCCCAAGTCCTCTGGCTTGGCTGTTTAGCGGCACTAAAAGTACACACATGCAGTGGCACTTCTTTCTCACGGGAATATTTTTATTTATTTATTAAGTGAAGCTCAAGCCATGGCTATGATTTTTCATTTTCCTGTGTATCCTGGCCTCTTGGGAAGGGCTGCAAGCTGTGCCTGTTTAAATAGAGCATATTTTCATTTTAAATGTGCTGTTTAGAATTGGAGAAAAGCAAAGATTTTGCCCTGGAAAATCTGCAGCAATGGAGTCAAGAGAATTTACCACTTTTTGCTTGGCTCTGATTCATCTTCTCAGGCCTCTCCTAAGCCAAGAAACCTCTGCATAGATAAAACTGTTGCAAGATAGACATAATGTAAGTATTAATTTGTGGAATTACATTGTGGTGAACACAACATCAGAAAGCTTCTGAGTTCCCTTTGTCCTCTGCACCAATGAACTGAGCAGCCCATAGCAGTGGCTGTGTTCCTAACCTAGATAGGAGGTGGGCATCAAAGTGCTTGAGTAAGTCATGTTGCAAGTAAATAACTACCCCACCATTGACTGCTTTTTTTTTGGCATCAGCACTTGACTTTTTTGACAACGGTCAGCAAAGAAGCCCTGATAAGTAACGTGCAATGTGGAGAAATAGTTGCTGCTTGGACTCCCATGTTATTTGGGTCTCATTGACACCAGACCAATTTTCACAGCCTAGGTGCAGACAGCACCAGTGATGCTGGTGCTGTGCTGCAGTGCTGCTGTGCTGCTACCAGCAGCTGCAGGGAGTTATGGGAGTGCTGGTGTGGTTCCCTTTACGTGACCTTTCTCTGATGACCAACACCATCACTTGCTGTACTTGAGCTGCAGTGGATGCATAGGGAAGATATCAACTGCAACCAGCCTCAAACTTGCACAAAGTGAAATCTTCTGAATGTGTTACTGAAAGCCCAAGGGTGAAGTGTTGTCATTATCTGGCTGCTGTCAGTGGTGGAGTTTTGGCTGCTCTGCCGTTCCTCCTTCTAACGACACTGAGCTGGTTTTCTGCCTTTCTTATTGATGCAAGCTTTCAGAGCTGTTTCATAACCTTCAGAGGAGAGTGCATTGCTTTGCTTTTTGTTATCTCTTATGCTCTGCAGTCTTGCGGGAAGTCTCCTACATGATCTGAAAGACTTCTGACCTTAGGACATGAAATCCTGCACTTCAAGGAAGTTGGTGAGATACCTAGTGTGGCTGCGAGCTGAGTCCCCTCTGTGTCTTGCAGCCAGCCTAACAGCTTGGACAAAGCTTTGCCTCTGCCGTGTTGCTCATTCCTGCCTCCTTTTTTTTTTCTTCCCAGAGAGACGGTACTCCAGATCCCGTTCCAAAGCTGGTGGACTGAGTTACTCCTCCCACCTGGTTGGCAGTCGGCAGCCCAGTGAGATGGCCCTGACACCTCTGACGGAGCAGGAGGGTGAGGCTTATCTGGAGAAGTGTGGTAGCATCCGTCGCCACACTGTTGCCAACGCTCACTCAGATATTCAGCTCCTGGCGATGGCCTCCATGATGCACACAGGCATGGTGATCGAGGAGTCGGACAGCAATGACAAATGTCTCCTCCTGCAGCCCAGTTTCAGCCACAGGCAGTGCTCCAGTGAGCCCAGTATTGCCGATGGGCCTGAAGGAGGCATGGCAACAGGCAGGCAGGACTCAGCAGAGCTGAACTGCACATCAGTCAGCTAGAAGAAGTCTCTCTGAGAAGAGGAGGAGCGTATGTGCTAAGCTGGACAAATGCTCCTGTCATCCCCGCTGGAAAAAAAGGAAAATTGGGGTTTTGCTCCTGGTAGTGAAATGGCCTTGGATGATCTAATGTCTCTTTGGGAGTGCTCTCCAGACTTGTTTTCCTTGCTTGTTTGTGAGTGTTGTTGATAGAGGTACCAGCCGGCTCCCGATTGAGGGTGGTGGGCTGCAAAGTTGAACATTGCTGTGTACCTTCTGTAAGCTCTTTTACTGTACTAACCTAAATCTTCTGGCCTCAGGTTTCCTTCTGTTTCTTTGGTATGACGCAGATGAGCCTCTTTCTGCTTTTGTCTTTCCTGGTTTTGTGCTACTTGTTTGCATCAGAGGATCCTGTGCTTAATGTTCTTTGCTTCTGAAGTTGAAGTGGTGACTAAGGACTACCTTTTTCTCTTTTGAAGTTGAACTCAGGGATAAAACCACTTGGATCTTGCAGAAAGATCTGTTCAGATTGCTTGAGAGAAGGAGATCCTTCGCTTGCTTCCCACAAGTGTGGGGGGAAAAGAATCTTGAAGAAACCAGCTTTTTTTAGCCCACACATGAACAGAACTGGATACGTATGGAGTGCCAGCTGAACCCTTCCAATGTGCTTTATGTAGTTCCAGTAATGTCTTTAGTGTTGTTGTTATAAATCGAGCACCAAGGAGAAAGGTATAAAGTGAGAGCGAATACAGTCCTGAGCATCCCAGTATTTGGCATCAAATTGCTATTTAAGTTCTGGGGTGGTGCAGCTGCAATGAAAGGAGAAATCTAAACGAGTCCCTTCAGAAAGGGAATGCCCATGCATTTCTATCGGGAGAAAGCTAAAGGTGCTTCTCCAGGATGACTGTCATGAGTGCAGAGCAGAAGATGACTTACAGGGCTGCTTCCTTGAGCTGCTGTGGTACTCCCTGCACTTGCAGGATTCGTGAGACCAGAGATAAGCAGCTGGGTGCAGAACGGAGCGCTGTCCTTGTAGCACATTTGTGAAGTGCTTCTGACCTCCAGTGGTATCTCGCTCAGTGAGCATTTCTTTAAGATGAAGCGAGGACTACGTGTAGTCTTTGTTCCTATTTTTGTTCTGAAGATTAGGATTGGGTCCAGGTTGTCAGTGTGTCAGAGTTGCAGTGCCCACTGCATGGCACCGTTTGGTTCTCAACTGCTGCTTCTGTGGGAGCAGAACCGATTTGTTGGAGCAGTCCTCTGGTGCCTTGCTAAGCAGATTTGCAAGTGTAATTACAAGCTTAGAGGTAAACTGAAATGCTGCCTTAAATGTCAAATCGCATTAAAAACGTGGATATAATACCACAGCCTCTAGAATCCAGTCCCTGTGGTACTGACTGCAAATAAATCTATCCTGACAAGGGAACAGGAAGTTAGGATGAGTCTTCAGGAGATGTTTTTACATATTGTGACGTTAATTGCAGAATTTGCCCCGCTGCCATTGGGCATTAAGCGCCTTTTATTGCATGGGCTGTACTGAAAGAGCAGCTTGGACCTGCTGGGATTTGACTTTGGTAGCATGTGCTGCAAAAAGCAGTTGGATGGTTATTGTACCACAGAGCACCAGAAAACCCAGCAACGAGCACAAGTCTTGCTGTCTGTGTACATGAGAATATTTCTTTGTCTCCTGTGGTTTGCAAATCTCCAGATACTTGGAAGGGGCTGTGTTTTCTTGTAGTTGGTCACCTGCGACACCCTCGCTGCTGGCCTTTGTAGAAATGCAGTGTTTTTGTCCCTGCTGTAATTATGTGAGAGAGATTGGGTTGTGCTGTTGGCTTCCTAGGAAGGATGTGTCTGGGGAGGCAGGAAGAGGGGGATTTAAGCAGTCCTTCCTTTAAATGGATTCTAGGGGAAGTTGCCTTCTTATTCCTAAATTGGACTGATTGTGCCACCTGATGCTGTCACACGCACTGACTTGCAGCCTTCTCTTGACCACAGTGTACACGTGGGGAAGTGCTGATCCTGCAGCATTTCAGCTCACTCCTGTAAGTGCTTCTCATCTTTTTACTTCTCATTTCCCTTTTGTAAATGCCCAAAGTTAGCAGCGCCGCCTTCTGTGATGAAAGTGAGTATGATTTATTTCCTGACATACTCTTGGATCATCTCTAGGGCTAATAGGAACCCAGTCCTGGTTTTAACTTGAATATCTTTTGTTTTACATCTATTTATAATTTTGAATCATGTTGATTTTGTACCTGTTACGTTGTGGAAATTTGCACCGAGCCACTCTGAATTGAGCACTTCCCCTGGTTGTTTGGATGTTTTGTGTATGGAGAATTAAAGCTGGTGGCTTTACTTTTTAAACTGAACTAAACTTGTTCTTCAACCAACATGGAGGATCTGGTTGGAACTAGGTTTTCACGGGCATTTGATGGATCTTGAACCTTTCTTTCGTCAGTGTTGGTACTGCTGCCTTCTTTCCCTCGAGGAAGAGAATGCTGCAGAACTCGGGATGGCTGTGGGCAGTGAGCTGCCCCTTCTGTTGGGGTGCTTCTGAGTGAGGTGGGTTCAGACCCTTCTCTACAGCCTCCTGACTCCTCCAGGAGTTGGGGTCTTAAGGATCTCCACTACCCTGAACTCATACCACAGTACAGAGCAGCTGCCGATTGCATCAGTGCTTGAGGAGCCGCTGTTTGAAGCCTCTGTCATTGGGCTTCAGAGCCAACTCCCTCTTATGCCGAGAGCCAGTTAATAATTCTTGTGGAATTATTATTATGGACTGCATAGTAACAGCCCCAGTTACCCTGGAAGAAAGACTGGAGTCACAGAATCATTATTTCTGGGCTAAAAGTTTATGAACACATTTGCGCTGGCTCATATTCAAGAGTTTGCAGTTGCTATTGTCACTGGAAAGAGCCCCCACACTTTTTAACCTCAAAACCTCAGTTCTGTGGGATTGCTCGGGCTCCCGGAACAGTGTACAGTGCTGTACCAGGACAAACTGGAAGGTAATGGAATTAATGTATATTAAATGTCAGTGAGAAACCACAAGATCCTCTTCAGTGTATGACACTTAGGATGATTTATTACCATTATTGCTAAGCAAGCCCTCTTTTCTCCTGTGGGTTTTTAATCTACTTCATACTAAGCAGCTATCGACTAACAGATATTGATGGTCCTTGGTGCAGAAATAGGAAGTCCTTCCTTCTCTCCTGTGTATCTCTAAGATGCAGCTTCACTATTACAAGGGCTGTCTGCTGCCTTTCTTCAGGCTCGGGAAGTGAGTGATCATTGATTTGCTGTGTGGTTGCAAAAGAAACAAAGGGAAGGGGGAAGCTGTTCTGAAGGAGGGAAACGATGGCACCTGTACTGGAAAGCTCCTGCAAAAACAGGACATTTGAGTCTAATACTCTGCTCCCGGGCACCAGTGAGCTGAATGAAGATGGTCCTGGGAACTCAGATAAGCATTTGTGTAGAGACTTTGTGTAATTCTCCTTTACAAGCTTGTGTGGGGGCTGCAGAGAGGAGAGGATTTATTGTGATTTTTTTTCCCCACCCACAGTCTCTTCCCAGAAGGCTGGGGAGAGCAACTATCATGTACTGAGCATCACAGCTTGTGATAGAACATAGTAGATGGAGAACCTCTAAGCAATACAGCCTGGATCTGACTGTCAGCCTGTCCTGTGGCCCTTAGATGTAAGGCATCTTTCTCCATAGGTTACTTCAGGGAGAAAGAGAGGGCTAGAACCCTGTAGTTTTTCCTCCATTCCTTGTAGTGGCTGCTATAGAAAGCATCAGCCTTGTTTCATGAGTCCCAGTGGTACTTTAAGTACAGATTCACTTTTGAGTTTTAACTAGAAGATCCATAAGGGATGTACACATTAGTCTACACAGAGCCTTTCCACAAGAAGCAGCCAAAGCCACAGCCTGAGGAGCACTTTCTAGGTGATTTGCTGAGGTAAGTGGAGTTTGTTTGTTACACCTGGTGAAATACAGAAACCAGGAGAACTTGTATGTGCCACTTCTCCTTGACAGTAGCCTGGTTCCTTGGTGTGCTGCCAGAAGGCCTGACTCATACCTAGCTGGAAACGCTGCTTTCTTAAAAACAGCAATAGAAACCAAGGTATAGCTTAGAGAGAAACAATGTAATGCATAATGGTGACCCAATGCAGAAATGGAAATAAAACCACTAAGCTGTAGCGTACTATCCTAGGGTTTGACAAGTGGCTTTCACTGATTTCATGTTTAAGAACAGAACTGTAGGGAGCTTTCAGTATTATGGAGCTGGTGCCAGCAGTTGCAGAGAGGACGTGTGCTTCTGAAGGCAGGAAGGAAAACCAACGGGTTACCAGAGTGGACCCGCAACAGACCTGCTGGGACTCTGCAACCTACGCCTGTCTCTGCAGAGTGGGATGAGGTAAGAATTGTCTTGCTTTTTATTTTTGAACACGTAAATTAACTTGTATGGAAATGATTTTGTCTGAGAGAGGTAAGAAGTAGAAGATGAATGTTTCGAGGCAGTTTATCACAAGGCATTTTGCAAAGGAACGCTTCTACTTTACGAATGCAGGTGCTTCTTCCAAAATTATTACTGCCCAACTGCTAAAATGCTGCTCCATTTAAACAGGCAGTTCTTAAGGCTCTTCAGGAAGCAGAGCAGAGCTGTCCTGTAGGCCATGCTGCAGTGCAGTATGAATGGCTTTGAAATGGGCTATGTGCCAGCCTGAGTATTTAGCCATGGTTGCATTAGTGAGCAGCTTGTGCTGAGTTGCAGTGAAGGTCTGGTTGTGACAAAAGAGCAGGAAAGCAGCAGCTCCTGCTGTGAGAGGAAATCACTGAGCACAGGAACTATCGTGGGCTGTGTCAGTCTGGATGAGTCAGAGCAGGAAAAGGTGGCTCATCAGTCCCAGCCTGGACAAAAACTAATAGGAAAATGATTTCCCAGTTCACAGTTTCAAATATTTCCTCATTCCATCTCAAAAGGAAAAAAAAAACCCCACAACCCAAGCACTCACTTCCATAGAACAAATGAGTTCAGTCATGACTGCTAAAAGACTGGATAGAGCAGGGCTCCAGATTTCCAGCAAGTAAGTCTTGCTGCACCTCAGTCTTCATCTGTTCCCCCTCACAAAATAAAGGTAAAGTCATGGAGGCTGTACTGTGTGTTTTTTTTTTTTTCTGAACCAAAGAAAAGTTGTGGCCTTCCACAAGGAATTATAACAGGGAGGGTTGATAATGGTTCTACTTGGAATAAAATACTACCGTCGATTCAAGCTAGCATTCGTACATTAGAAGCTTTCTGCTTTTTAGGGGCAAGGGAAAATTAAAAATGAGAAACTAAGGCAGACATATCTTAAAAAAAAATATTTGTGAACTGAAAGAGGTGGCAGAAATAGCACAGTCTTCATGTGTTCTGAGATCTGCCAAGCTGACAGCAACTGTTCAGTGTGTAACTGGGGGCATGTCTTTTTTTACTTAGGCGGGGATTTTTAACTGATAGATGAGGTCTCAAAAATTTAAAATTAAAGCTAGCAAAGCAAAAAACAAAAACAAAACAAACCCCCCCCCACACACAAAAAAACCAACCAACAAAAACAAGACCCTGAAGAACAGATTTCCTGAAGTAAAGAAGACTTGGATGCTGTAAGGGTGGTGGTGCCCATGGATATTGTCCTTGCAGATGGAGCTAACAAAGGTCAGTGCTGTTGACTTGACTTCTGTCTCTTCCTGTTGTGCCTGTTGGTCCGTTCCTGGTTTTCATGTTATTTCTGGTTATCCCCCATTTGCCTCTCATGCCCCCAGTTCATTCTACTTTGCTACAGTTATTCTCTGTTACCCCCAAGTTCACCCCTTTTCTGTCTATCCTTGTCTATGGCTGAACAGGTAATGTTGAATGGCTCTCAATGCATAAGTTGGAGGACCATCACCCAAACAGCTTCCTTTCATGCATTCTAATAACGACTAAAGCTGTCACCACCCTTTATGAACTACAACAATCCTTCCCGACTGAAATATACTCAGCATTTTTTGATTTTTGACTTGCATGCTCTCCATTACTATATTGTATAACTCAGCCAAATGAAACCCACAAGACAAAGAACCAAGTTCTGAAGCAGTCGATGTTTTAAACAGCTCTCCCTTTGAATAAAGGTGTAACACACAATGCATGGTTTAATTACTTTATTTTTAAAAAATCCTGTCAGAAATATAGCTGTGTATTAATTACAAAATATATTAATCTATTGATATTTTAAAAAGGATCAAGAGTACCTTAAATTCTGTTCAAATGGAAACCAATACAAACCTTTAACACTGACCTCAGAATAATCTCTTGCATCTATCATTAAGGTACTTGATGATGAGAGTCTCTCTCTAGGCAAGAGCAGAAAGGCCACCCTGATTTCTTTCATTAGCGAGTTCAAGCCCTCGCTCGCAAACACAACCAGGCATACCATGAGACCACTTAATATAGATCACATACCAACATTTTCAGTAAATTTTTCCCTGCCCTGCAGGGGAAGACATTCAGAGACAAAAAGAGAACACGTTTGCAATATATTATAATTGGAAAATGTGCCATAGCAGCTTTGCAAATACATAAACTAAGAGTCTGAGTTGAAACACGTTCAAGATGACAGAAATTCAGAAGATAAATAAGCTAAGCCACTTACTAAAACACCTTGAGATCTAATAATGCTGCAAAGCATCAAGAGTGACAGAAGTGGAGAACCTCATTCCTGAAGAAATTATACAGGAAGCTGACTTAATACTCCTATTTTTGTGTTTGTTTCAGGTACAACTCTCAAGGCTGCACACTATTCCCCTTCCTTTAAGGAGTTCTCAACCCACCCTGGCATAATGATTTTTCAAAACAGATGATCACATTTGTAAGGCTGGAAAAAAAAAAAAAAAAAGAGGTCATTTAATTAAGAATATTTTCATATGGAAACTGAGCACCTTAGTACTAACCTCAGGAAAGTTTGAATAAAGGGTAATAGTCATGAGAGGTGGGACCAATCCAGACTCCTAAGTTTTTCCATTGGCTGAAGATGCTGCTCTTATTTGGAAGAGAAAGCACTGGAACTGCAGTTAAAGGTGGGGAAAGAATAAGGGAACTGGAACAAATACACAAATTAATGTTTCATTAACATTTATGTTTCAGGGCAGGAGAAATTAATATTTAGCACATTAGCTGTCAAAGCTTCTTATGTAAAACTCTGGCATTACAGTAACAGCATCACTCAGAGTTCTACTAGATAATATCACAATAGAAAGGAGTAGAATAGCAGTGAGTTGAGCATTCCTACTTACACGGTCAATACATGCTTTCTATTATATTCTATTTGCTGCTGGGTTGTGCTATTGTACAGTGTTAGCCTGAATCATTTGAACTTCTGAACATGCCACCAAACTGAGTTTCAACTAGAGGCGTAACTCTATCAAATGTAGCAGAAAAGGCTCAAAGCAAGAATTCAGTTTGTTGTAGGTGAGAATTCCTAACACAAAGCTTCAAATGCAAAGTATTAATGCACTTAGTGGGTCTTTGTTATAAACTCTTACAGACAGGGTACAGACAGGGCCCTTTTGTTAACATCACCAGGGTTGAGTAGGGAACCGAGAGCTGCTTCTTGCTATAAATGAGCAGTCCTTCTTCTGCCTTTCTCCCCTGACCCACCCAGAAAAAGGAGAATGGTAATGTTTGAGTATGTTGAAAAAAGATGGCTAACTAACAGCCTGAGAAGGACTGCAGAACTGCTGTGCAGTGCAAAGAACTGCCTTCTGGCTATCGCAGATCTGAGTACTGTTACACGTATTAAAAGCTTTCCAGTGAGAATGGCTGAGTTACCAACACTGCTTTAACTGGAGGCACAGTGGAACAATCCAGTTAATGGGACGAGACTGCACAGTACAAAATTGACTTAAGAGGTTTAAAAAGACAGATGTAAAGCAAGGATCTTTTCCTGTTATTGAGTAATATAAGCTCACTAGCCCCCCAAACACACCAAATACACTAATAAGTCACTTGTGACTGTCACAATTAGCCAGAAGTTCAGTATTCAGTAGCAACAACGCTTAATCTCTCTGCAGTTACCAGGCTCTATCTGCAAAATAAATTGGTTCATTGCATCCAGCTGAACAAACCAGTAAAGGTAGAGGCCTGCAACTTCTAAGCTCCTACAAGTACATGGAGAAATCTCCCATATCAATGTACTGTAGTACTTGTTCCTTAGTCTTGTGCATATTAAGTATGTGCACTTAAATACATTTTCCCACTGATGATCCCCATGAGGGTGTTTTGAAGGGACTGCTTATTTGGGCTGCTTTTCAGTTTCTTCTAAGTTGCAGCATCCCAAATCCTCACACGGTTTCACTGGTTTGCAGAAATAATGGAAAAGAGATGCTCCTGCAGGGCTTACTTTACTCTGCCTTAGGCTGCACACTTCAGTTCAGGAGCGAACAAGACTTCTCTTCGCTATTTTTGAAGGAAAAGATCCATGCTTTATCAGTACTATGGTAAATCGTTAGCACCAGTGAACTTATCTACTCTGCTTTGACTGGTCAAAACTAGTATTTATATGGAATAAGTAGAGAAAACAACAACACATGCAACATGAGGAAGCTCATGAATCCTTGAACTAGTGAACTTAGTGTTTGGTTAAAGAGCTGTTAAGGAAGGCAGGCTTTTTTCCTGAGAACAAACAGGACTGCAATTTTTCCCTCACACTAATTAGCAGGCTTTTCTTTCCTCCTGAAGTGTTAAGGAGGCCCTAGGTCCTATTGTCTAATGGGACAGGAAATGGCCACAACAGCTGTACGCTGACACTGCCAGCTGTCCACTGAGTATTAAGAGGAGATTAATATAGCTCCTATCACCCAGAACATCAAGGGAAGGGATGACTCAGATGCAGATTTCCAAGTTCAACACTGCTTCAAATTTAGGTTTCAACAATAAAATTCTGCAACCCTGTCTAGTTACTGTACACCTTTGCTCATGTCTCTACCCACCGCCCAAAAACACCTTTCAGTCTAATGCTACACTTACCTCTAGTAACAGCAATTGAGATTCTGGGCCTGGAACACACACCACGCGCACTTGCATACAAAAGTTAGGGTCAAAATAAAGAGCAGTGGGGAGCAGCACTTTCGGACCATCTTAGAAATATTTCTAAGAGCTTGGCTCCTTTAACCTTCCTCACAACACTACCACCTACCTTTCAGAAATTCTACTATCAACTTGATATTGACACACAGTTTCTTACTGCAGCAAAGAAGGGTCGAAGCATCTCGCTTTAAGTTGTGTCAGCAAAGCTTTAACCTGACTTCAGATATCAAGAGAAGCATAGTCAATTAAAAATTCTAGGTAAGTCAACATAGAAACCATCTCACCCAAGGCAAAGCTCTCCCAAGCTCCATGAAAAAAAGCCTAACCCTCATTTTTATTAATTTACCTACCTATGATTTCCCTGCTGCAGCACCTACTCCAAGGCACTGAGCTGCAAAGATTTATAGGTCTTTTCTGATATGACTTACTTGCACTTCGCCAAACAGAAATGTGTAGGTACTTCAGTAAGTTTTTCTTGTAGGCAGTTAAATTTTGATTAACCACACTTTCAGTTAGCTTGCTACAGAAGTAGCTTACAACTTAATAGAGAACAATTGCTAGTATTCAGACACAACCTCACAGAGCTGTTCAAGTGAAGATCAACCGTGGCAGCATTTACGATCTTATTCAGCCTATATGGATAGTGGAGCATGCATGTATCTGTGGTGGAAAAGTACGACCAGGCCTCCATCCCTCTAGTTAAGACTTGGTTACGCAGCTCCATCAGTACTGCGAGCTTGAAATCCTTCCCTGCGAAGGCTGTTTAAATCTAGACGTGTTAGAACTTCACAGCGCACCAGAAGGGTATCATCCTTTACAAAGGTTCTTTGCTTCAAAGTTTGCAGGTGCATGAAAGTCACATAACCAAAACCTTTTGGATTGCGATGAATCGTTGGTCTCTGGAAGGCGAGTAACTCTGGCTTGGCTTCCATTACTTCTTCATGATTCTGCCTCTCAGGGCCTTCCGATTGATCCAAAATAGAAAGTCGTATAGTGCCTTGGAAAGGCCAAGGCAGATGGCTGTCATATTCCCCTTGCATCGTGTGGACAAACAGCGATATAAAATTAGCACACCGCTGAGCATTTGGTAACTGGATATGCAGGCGCAAACACAGCTTGTAGCCAGGTTTTCCAGTATAGAAGCCAGGACTGTGCATCACAACAGGCCTCTCTTCTTCCTGGGCTTTCTGAAGTCCACTGAAGTTCTCGATCTTCCAGATGTAAATACCATTACATTGTTGTGCCTCCATTTCAGTAATCTTTCCCTCCAAATTTCGGATGGTACGTTTGAGTTCTGCCATGTGAGTGTTCTGCGTCTCCATCTTTGCAATGAGTTCTCTGATTTGGTGATCCTGTCTCACTAGACGACCTTCCAATTGCTGAATAGTTTCTTTAAAGTTTTCAACTTCTGGATTACAATTATATGGCGCATGTGACACATGGGAGAAGAGGGCAGGCTCAAACTGTAGGCCGTTGATAAAGGGTACAGGGTTTGTAGCAGTAACACTGATATTTTGAATGCTCTGAGCCATCATTCTCATGTGAACCTGAGTGAATTCCTGCATGTGTCGTGCCAGTTCGTTCCTCTGCATCTAGGATTTAAGAAACGTAGCGTTAAGAATCCATCACATCCTAAATGTGGTTCTAAAGTACAAATACATAGAAATCAAACAAGTCCTGTTATGTGAGAAAAACCAGAATGCAAGTCAAAGACAAACAATGTGACAAAGCTGTAAAGGTGATGTGAATACCAATGAAGGGCTTTAAATTCAAAAATCAGATATGATAAATGTGAAAATGCCAGTGGACAAGAGCTGTTTGACAAAATATACACCTGGTGAAAAAGCATCGGCAACAAGTAAGTATTTATGTGCTAAATCAGCATTGCATTTCCTCTGTAGACTTGCAGAAATGGCTCTCCGGTACCAGAAGATAAAGACCTACGAGAACTGATGGCATGAGGATAAGAAAGTTGATTTCCAGAGTTATAGCACAACAAGAAATAAGAATATCCAGCCAACAGAGTTTTATGGTTTTTATTATTGGTATTCCACATCATAATGCCATGTAGTGCACTGGGAGTTAAAGAGTTAATGCTCCAGTTCTGTGGATCATGGATCACTCCTGGTACCTGGTTCTCAGAAGAGAAGAAAACTACATACTACATCCCCCGGAGGTCTTTGTGCTGTTCTGTTTCTGTTTCCTGTTCAGAAGATAGGACTGTTGGCATATCACAAGATGACCCGTTTTTGCCTTCTGCTCAGCCTGGCTAGACATCTCACCTCAACATTAGAGTCTTCAGACATTCTCATTTTATTTATTAGCTTCAATTCTAATTATATTGTATTATACTATGTTACCTTGCATTCCAATATCTTATTTAGTAAATTAGTTTGTTTCTCCTCAGATTGTTGCTGCTGTTTTGTTTCTAGGCCCATCTCCCTACCCTTGGCCCTTTTCCTTTTTTTTTTTTTTTTTTTTTTTTTTTTTTTTTTTTTTTTTTACGGCCAGCAGGAACAGGGAGGTGATTGTCCCTCTGTACTCTGCCCTCATGAGGCCCCATCTGGAGTACTACCTCATGCTCTGGTGCCCCCAATACAAGACAGACAGGGAACTGTTGGGGAGGGTCCAGAGAAGACCCATAAAGATGATGAGAGGGCTGGAGCACCTCTTCTCTGAAGACAGGCTGAAGGAGCTGGGCTTGTTCAGTCTGGAGCAGAAAGGCTGCAGGGTGACCTCACTGCAGCCCTCCAGTACCTAAACCTAAAGGCAGCCTACAAACAAGAGAGGAGTCAACTCTTTCAAAGAGTAAATAACGGCAGGACAAGGGGAAACGGTTTTAAGTTGAAGGAGGGAGGATTTAAGTCAGATGTCAGGAGGAAGTTCTTTACTATGAGAGCAGTGAGGTGCTGGAACAGGCTGCCCAGAGAGGTTGTGGATGCCCTGCCCATGGAGGTATTGAGGGCCAGGTTGGATGGGGCCCTGGGCAGCCTGGTCTAGTATTAAATCTGAAGTTTGGCAGCCCTGCCAATTGGCTGGGTGTTGGAGATTCATGATCCTTGAGGTCCCTTCCAACTGAAGTCTTTCTATGACTCCCCTTTTCCAGGGCATGAGTCTGTGGGTCCCCACACCCTGCTAGTCACAGAACCAGTCCATAAACCACTGACACCAGATTAAGTAGCTTTGGAATTCAATCATATTTAAAGCATTCTCAAGTCATCTTTACCAAACCTAAAAAGTTATAACTGTATTTGGTCAGAACTTTGTAAGAAATGTTAGAAGTTACTTCCTTGGTATAAAGTTGAGATTGCACTCATGGAATAATATACGTCCATCAGGTACACATTCAAGTTCTCTAACTTAGGACTTTTGAAAAGCACTGGATCAACATGCCACGTTTTGGAATTAGAATGCCTCCAAATGACCAACTCCACCAATCACTGAAGATTTGGGTTGGTAGATGAGACAGTAGGAACAGACAAAAAGCCATGCAAAACATCTGCAGCTCACGCTTCTGACAAGGCTTACCTTTTCAGGACACCCAAAGGCACTGTAAAAGCACGGTACCGGGGCAGTAGGACAATCATTATCGTAATGGTTGGGCATCTAAAACAAATCAGATTTGAAATGAGTTCTCCCCATTAAGAGTATTCTCTTTATAACATCATCACAGTCCAGCTTGCCCTATTTCAGTATATGTACCTGAAGTAAAAATCAGTTTATTTTTGTGTCATTCTTTTGAGAAACAGGGAAACTTTAAACAATAGTGTGCAGCTAATGATAAAAATTTAACATCTTCCTTACACGTACTTCACTCACTGCTTCATTGATGTAGTATCTAGATTATGCATCAGAAAGCATTAGAGTTCCTCTCTTGTGCGTGAGCCTTTTGTTTCTAGCCTATACTCGAGCTAGATCACAGTCTACTTCTTTCTCTTCCGAAGCACTATTTACACGTACTTAGAAATAGTTGTGTCGCTCTTCCTTATTATCTTCTCAATAAGACCACATTACTTCAATCTTTCTTACAGTCCATATTTTACAGACCCAATTATGTCATCACTCCAAATTCTCCCTGTCCATCTTCACCCCAAAAGCCAGACAGCTTCAGCTGAGGCCTTGCCAGCCCTAACCAGAACTAAGGATAATTTCAGGTTTCTCAGGCAAAAGACTTGTTTATAAGCCCAGTATAGGTCATTTACTAATCTGTTTTCTCATTCTCTGTTAAATAACAAACTGCAAAACTATATAACCTGAAGTTATGTTTGCTTCTTTGCAGCGTTTAAATCAGTATTACACCTGCAGTGGATGCAACTTCTTCAGAGAGATGAGGAGAGATTTAACAGCTAGGAGAGAAACCATTTCTTCAGATTTAATTTGAGATTGTGAAAAATACAAAAGCTGTTCTGTAAAGAAATGGCTGCAGCTCAGCTATCTTAAGGACAAACATGCTTGTATTTACTTTTATATGTTTGCTTACACTCTGCAGAGAACTCCTGCATTTCCTTCAAGCAGAGGTAGCCTTGGGGAGTAAGCTCATCCTCCTCAGGAGAGATCTATTTCATTAAGTGTGCATGAAACCCTTCGATCACATAACCATGCTGGCACAGCTGCCCATGGAAACAGCAGCTGCCCCATCCCTGGCTGTGTTCGAGGCCTGGCTGCATGGAGCCCTGGGCAGCCTGACTGAGTGCTTGATGCAGTGGTTGGCAAGTCTGCCCAGGGCAGAGTGCTGGAACTAGATCATCATGGAGGTCCTAGAAATCCAAGCCATTCTATGATTAAAGCAGCATTGTAAGTACAAAACATAAGGCCCAGATTAAGCACACACAAAAAAAGGCAGTTTCTTACCTGCTGCCTGATGAGCATTGTGTTGCAATATTCACAGAATACATTGGCAAGAGGGCAGGTTTGGTCATGAAGCTGTTAACAAACAGCGATAGAGGAAAACAAATTAATAACATTATGCAATTCCTAAGAATGCTAATCACTTCTGATGAGATATTTTAAAGCTGAATGCAACTGTGAAATAAAGTTTAAAAAGAAGAGCTAGGAGAAGAACTCTGAAGTGATCCTATTCTCATGCAGGTATCCCCAGAAGATGCACTTCTTGATCCTTTCTGCCAGGCATACAAACTGTAAGTGTGGGATGTTGCTTTGTATATTACTTTGCCAGTAGGTACTGCCCCCTCTGATGCTAAGGCCAAAAAGCAACCACTGTGAGACACATCTTTTCACACCACAGGGTTCCCAGATAAGTGCCCTGGTGTTCAGAGCTTCTACCCTGTGCAGTTCAAACAGCTCTTCCATACGAAGGCTTGCTTTCTTTCTACAAGACCATGATGTCACATTCATGAGCAAACCCATATGAATGGAGGCTGAAAGACTCCTGCCAAGTACCTCCTTATCTTCATAAGCCATAGATGTGGCACAGTTTGGACAGCACACTTGTCGCCGGGGACACTCCTGTGTCATGTGCTCTTTCAGGTGGTTCTTCTGAAAGGCTCCTTGGCACTGCGGACATTCCACAGCCGTGAAATCACAATGCAACTGGTGCTCCTGAACAAAGACAAAAGAGATTTGATACCGAAAACAAGTGCTAATTTACTGCTTGCTTTTCAGATAAGGCACAGCACAGGAGGAACAAGCAATAACCCTTCCTTCTTTCCTTCCAAGAAAACCCTTATTTACACTTACACTGACTTCACTAATGGCATGTCGATGTTCTATGGCCAAGATCAGGACTTCACAGAATGACCTCAAGAAGTGAGCTGCATTACTACAGTGTCACATCCTCCAGGGTTTTTTGTTTTTTTTTTTTTTTGAGAACCACCTAATTACAACTATGTGCTCCTCAGAACAAAACCAAAAAAACAGCTGTAGGCTTGAATGAATGGAATCTGTATGAACAGGTATGGCCCCTTAAGTCTGAATTTTTCCTCATCCGTAAAAAACAAGGTTCCGTATTGTCAGATCTCATTCTCACCTCTAAATGTCTCAGCTCCATCTTCATGCAGCAGCCCTTGTTGGGACACTTAACTGTTAATGAAAGGATTTCCCGTTTTGCAAAGTTGTCTGGAAAAAGTTGATTTTCAAGTAGAATTTCATTGTCTACTGGACATTTGTGACCCGCATCTCTACGATGACAGAAAGACAGAAAAAAAGATTTTGAGTTTCTTTTGCCCTTAATTTAAAATATTTTTACACTACCAAGACATTAGCAGCCAGGTAATGACACATGAATAAAGTACTGGAAAACAAAGGCATTTATGTGACAATTACCAGAAAGGATGCAATGTCAGAAAAACTGACAGCATAAAGTTTCATCCGAGGTAGTACTATTGAGATCGCAGAGCTGTTCTAACTCTGTAGCTTTTAATTGCCCAAATGACATGATAGATACCCTGGAAATAAGCTTGTGGAGGATGTAGAGAACACAAGAACTTATGGCCTTGTTTCTATAAGGACTTCACACAGCTGAAACACAAAAGAATATTTCACATACTCTTCCAAAACAGTCCTTTAAAGATTCTTAGGCATTTCTCCCTCCTTTCTCACTTTATGAGCAGCCAAGGAGACCATTCCTGAGACAGAAAGCAATCTTTTCTGGATTAACTTATTTCACAGAACTTTCTGAAGAGCTATTTCTCTGGGTTTTTTTTGTACAATCACTTCTTAAGTTGGTCATCCTTCAATTTATGTATTCATACAGCAACATGGGTAAAGAACTCCTGACACAGAATTTACTAAGAACTACGAAAATAGTGCTGGATTTGGAATTGGTTATTGTACCTGAAGCCATCACAACCAGACAGTCATTGCTAACTGGTGGAACTCTGGAGTCCAACGGTGGAGCATTGGTGCATGCAACTTGCATAAGGAAACTCACAACTTGTTAACACTTCACAAGGCTCTGTCTGCTTGCATGGAGCTGCATTTGGGGAGGGTCAGGTTGGGTATTAGCAAAAGGTTTTTCACCAGAGGGCAATCAGGCACTGGAACAGGCTCCCCGAGGCTGCGGTCACAGCCCCAAGCTGCCACAGTTCAAGGAGTGTTTGGACGACACAGGGTTTGTATTATGGGTGGTCCTGTGCAAAGCCAGGAGTTGGACTCAGCGACCATTGTGAGACCCTTCCAGCTTGGGATATTTTGTGATTTTATCTTTTTCCTCAACTGGAAATAGCAATAATGTGGAAAAACCCATGGGGTGGGAAAAATGTAAGAGCACGCTTGCTGTGCAAAGATCAAAGGCCATTCCTTATTGCTGCTTGCAAGTGTGAGGGGGAAGCAGAACCCAGTGTGCTGTGGAGGACAGGAGGGAATTTGTGGTCTTTGCTGGAAAAGGAAATAATTGGTCAGCACTCCATCAGTAATGCTGCCAGAGGAAGTGGGGGTAACAATCAGAGTTTAGAAAATGACAATGAACTTCCTTTCCTAGGTTTGGCTTACAAGAGTTGCTCACAACAAGTCTGACAGTCATGATTGTAAGCAAACGGAAAAAAGACGACACCTAGCAAGCCACTTCATTTCACAGCTCCCTGAGCAACGTGCTGATCTTTATCACAAACCAAAAGTGTTCCCCCAGATTACACACGATCTACAGGCAGTCACTTCTTGACAGGTACACCTTGGTCACAAATACCTCTCACTTAATGCAGTGCAGTGGTGGCTTGGTAGGCCTGCCAGTAAGGCAGCAGCTTGACTTCTACACACAAAGATAAGAACATATTCATTATATATAACGATTACCAGATCTCCTGCTTAAATAACAAGCAGTTTAAGAGCAATAACGAATGGCATTTCCTATGAAAAGGCAGAAATAACTTATTTTGAAGAAATATCTGCTTTGTGATTAACAACTAATAGGTTTAGCTTAGAAACAAAACAGTCTGCATATGCTTTAATTGGAGGCACGTGAGTCATTTAATGAACTGCTAGCACCCAAAGCTTTCACTGCTGCTCCTTCTCAACTCATAATTCAGTGATCTGATAAAGAAGCTTCTGAAATTCGGTGAGCCCCACTACAAGTGTTGCTTTGGCATAAGACAAAGGAGGAGACTAGCATGAAGTTTAATTAGCTATTGCATCTGAACTCAGTTTTCCTAAAATGTCTCATCAACTACTTTGTAGGCAGCAATATCTGTAAACTATTATTTGTAGTTACTAAAGCAGATAAGCTTCTTCACTATCGTGACTCTCGCTGCTTTAAGGCACTTCAGACTGCCGAGGTTCGTTGGGAAGCAAACACTGTGATCAAATCCATATGGTGTAACCATGCCCTACCCATTACAGGATCTAAAACTTCAGTGCTTAAAAGCTTCCCCCTCCCCCCCTTATTCTTTTGATAAAAATCTTTCTAGCTGCAGGTAGTTTCTTCAGCATGGGCAACTATAACTGTTGTCTATGTCACAAGAAGCATCTCAACAACTTCCTGTCCAACAACCATCCATCCACCTTGTATCACTTAATCCTCAGTGCTCACTCAGGCTCTACAGAAGGCAAGATGGGATGAAATAGAAGCATTTCTCCAAATAAACCAAATAAATGATAAATAAACGATAAATGATCACTTAATAGGAAAAAAATAGCACTTAGTGTAAAAATCACTTTCCATTCCCCTTTTAGTTCTGTACAAACTTCACAATGACATTCATTAATATTGTACTGTAGACACTACAAACTCCAGATCAGTGTTGGACCGTGGGTACAATGACAGTCCAAATCAACAGCTCAATCCACACATCCTAATTCAGCAACTCAGAATGGTCTGGCACTTCAAGATCCCAGCTCTGCTTTCACAAGTGCTTGCTGAATCTCAAAGATGGATGCTGGTGGGGAATGAGGGAAAATAGTCACTGTTATTGAAACATCTGAAATACCACAGTGATGATCTACAGTCTCCAAGACAAGGAATACTTGCCACCCTTGTTCAGCATTCACTGTAATTGCCAATAGTAATTCCAGAAATTGAGTTCAAAGGGGAAAAAGAGGATATAAAAAGGAAGAACTCCTAGTTATTATTTATAGATTCAAACCTTTGAGCAGAACAAATACTCTGTTAATTAACAGAAGAGAAACCATTTTCCAAGCCTGAGATTTAAGAAAGGAGTTTCTCTACCTTAACGAGATGCTCTGTTCTGAACAAGCTTACTGCAGTTCCTCACTAAACAATGGTAAATTCTACCAATGACCATCTACATAGCTCTGCAACAGGAAGATTAGGAAACAAGATCACTACAAAAGATCCGAAAGACTGGAAGAAGAGACCCATTTTGATTATCTTTGAAATGACTGGTGAATAAAGATTTCTGACACTCAGTACTGACTAATGTACTTTCAGGGCTTGTAGGCATCATCCTCCCATTCAAAGGCTTACAGATTCCTTATCTTTTCATTCTTTCAGCAATTCCCAAGTTAAAGAAGAACATAAAAACTACTGCTGCAAAGCAAACAAACATCAGAAAGCACAGAGAAAGCAAATAAGGAATTCCACGATGTAGTGGCTTTAATTACTATGGAAGTCTAATTTGATGCTTACAAGCACACATGGATTTATGCATTACAGCCACTTGAAATAATTCACGTTGGAACATGTGAAGTAAAGGCCAGAAATTGAAGCCACCTGCTTACGCACAGGAAACTGGATACCTACAGTAAAGCTGACAGGTTTAGTTTCATTTTTGCTTTCTTCCATGCTCTTGGCTGACATGAATGACATTAAGTAATGCAGTTGGGTAAGATCTGACTTATTTTTTCCTTTCTCCAGAAGTAGGAAATGAGGCAAGAGACCAAGGGAGCAAGGTGACTTCATGGCAAGGTTATGAGAGAACTGAGCATCTCTGAGCCTCCTTTGCAGTACACATGGGGGAGTCACTTTTCATGTGTGAACAACTTCAATACTCTGCATTTTTTTTTTGAATAATGAACCTGCACATCCTTTTCTCAGAAATGCTGATGAAATTAATGTTAAAAAGCTGAGCTGCAAAGTTTCGTGCTCTCTAGAGAATAACCCGCTCTTCTGCCATCATAAGTAGGGAATGCAAAATTAGGTTCATTTTTTACTGAGCTCCAACACCTTCCTCTTCCATCTAGAAGGGATGTTGTGAGGAAATACATTAGTATCAGCCAATGCTGAAACGACAGAGAAGCCCACAGAATAATGCCTTCAGAGAACACTGCTGCTGGCACGCTATTAATTTAGTGAGCTAAAAATGATGAGCTATGGATAAAGAAAATAGAACTAGGGATAAATGTATGGAAAGCTAAACAAGAAAGTATTGTCTATTTTACAAGCTAAAAACAACTGCATGAGGAAAATAAAATGCATTTTAAAGTAACATAGAAGACCGTCTGATTTTATGCACAAAGGCACGTAAAGGGATTTGGGAAATTAACCAACTCCATATGTGGGTCACACAATTAAGACTCCTACTAAAGCACCTTGACATTTGAGCTAAGGGAGAGATCCATAAGTAACAAGTCTGGCTTAGGTCCAGAATCAAAAATATAGTAATATCTAACTTTTTATCAATGAGGTTTAATACTCAGAGGCATAGGTAGGACAGTGATGACTGTACTCCATATCAGAGGGAAGTACAGTCTACCAATCAGCATGCTCTCTGCCTTCTCTTCCCTTTTCAAGCATCCACTGTTACAAGTTCAGCGTATTCTTGCCTCTATTTTTTTTTTTCCCCCCCACCCCTCCATACAGCAGTTTCTTCCCTCAACTCTTTGTTCCAGACTATTTCCTCATTACATTCTCCAGCCCAACAAGGAAGCAGATTGCAAGGGGAGAACTGAAAGCACAAATTGCCACATCTGTGCCAAGTAACCATGCTGCCAGTAGCTGCTTGTAGTTACCTAAACACTCACAGGGAGAGTACCTAAAAGGGAGCCTACAAATAGGAGGAGAATCAACTCTTTGAAAGGGTAGATAACAGCGGGACAAGGCAAAATGGTTTTAAGTTGAGGGAGGGAGGATTTAGGTTGGATGTGGGGGGGGAAGTTCTTTACTATGCGAGTGGTGAGGTGCTGGAACAGGCTGCCCAGAGAGGCTGTGGATGCCCTGTCCCTGGAGGTGTTCAAGGCCAGACTGGATGGGGCCCTGGGCAGCCTGGTCTGGTATTAAATGGGGAGGTTGGTGGTCCTGCACACGGCAGGAGGGTTGAAGATTCACGATCCTTGAGGTCCCTTCCAACCCTGGCCGTTCTGTGATTCTGTGAGAAGACAAGGTTTACAACCCTGGGTTGAAGAGGGGACCTGGTAGCTGTAGGCAAATCCTCCAAATAAATTGCTATTTTTATCTAACGTTTACTCCGTCAAGTGACTTCTTAAGAATGATTTCCATAGGTTTGCCTTTACCTTATTGATTTGACAATGCAGCCTTTGCAGAAACGGTGCCCACACGGCGTCTGCACTGCTTCCCGAAGGGCCATCAGGCAGATCGGACACTCATATTTGCTTTCCAAGGGCGGATCGAACTCCACGTCGTATCCCTGCGTCTCCTCCGTGAAGGAGCTGGGCGGGTTGCCGGTCCCACTGCCAACACTCACGCTGTCTTCTTTCGCTCCCCCGCTGCAGGCGCTGGCCATGGCCGCACAGCAGCCGCCATCCATGTCTCGGGCCCCACAGCTGCTGTCACTGTGTAGCAAGCTCATAGCAGCTGGTCGAGTGCCGCACAGAATGCCCTGCAAGGTGACAAAAAGATGTGTTAATTTAAAATACTCCAAGATCTCCCCTTCCAGTCATGAAAAGATTTGAGCGGTGGCCACAAGCACTGGAGCAGTGCTACAGACTTGGTTCTCCACACAACCACTTTTATCCCAGTTTCTCCACGATGTATCTTTTTATACTTATCTTGTAATGCATAAGAAAGAGCACAGCATCCTGTCACTTCAAAAACTGACACATACACACCTCCCTGCAATGTCGTTCATCTGCCTACTTGATTTCTGTAAACACTGTCTCTCCTTGCTGCACCTACTGAGAAAAGCCTCTATCCCTATGGCCCTATTTTCTTTTAAAGCATTCAAAGAATTTCCACAAAAAGCACTGTAATGGAATGTGGCAATATCTCAGCTCCGTATTTTCTTTGCACTGTCAGATGTTATTTAATATTTTCTGTATACAGATTTGCAGTATAGGTTTCAACTCAGTTTAGGTACATCGCCACAGATAAAAGGTAGGTCTGGGCAGCCACACCAAGCAGAGGATGTGCTGCAAACGAAATGCAAATGCACGGCATCGCTGATAGCACTTCAGAACTGTCAGTAGGACTTGAAATTGAGTAAGAAGCTGCACAGAAGATAAGGCTAATAGTTCTGCAGCTCAGAATGTTATTTACCAGCTAGCAGTGCTCAAACAGGTTTCATGCTCTCCCATCCCTCTTCCGGTACAGGTGGGAGGGAGGACAAGTGACAACGCTGTAAGAACATCAGATAAAAAATCACATTTCCCTGAGGAGGAGTGCATGGCATAGCAAGGCCTGTTTTTTAAACAACATTCCCCTCCTGCGTTCACTGCAAGACTATCACTTCATCTGCAGCATATTCAGGATGGCAACTTAAGGATGAGCCCAGAGCTGGGCTGCAAGGACTGGTGGCGTGCATCACTGCTACTGCATCCAGGGGCGGTGAGGATGCAGAGTGAGGGTTAACCCAACTACGAGCTCAGGGCACGGAACTTCTTGCCTTTAGCAGAATTGGAGCATCACAAGCCATTTAAACAGTGTTCACAGATAAGGGGAGGATGACACATAGATTGTTTTGTTTGAGCGCTTACTACGCAACACCTGAAGACTCTAACAAAAATGCTGATCACAAGGAGCCTCAGCTAGAAACCTGTGAACACATATTATTACAGACATGCTTTAGGCCACCTGTGTGATAGCCTCAACTATTTCAGTACTACCTGTGTTAACAGTATACGAGCTATTTTTCCTCCATTTAATCAAATGGAAAGAAAATGAAGGTACATCTACCAAAAAAACAAAGAAAGCCAGCAGTCCAACAGGCAAAATTACCATATAAAGGTTAGAGTTCAAATCAAAATGTAACTTCTTTTGTTGTGCAATACTTTCCATTTCATTGAAGCACGCAGAGGTGCAAGCAGCATCTAAAAGCAGTGCTCCAGAACTGCATTATGGTACAGAGTCTCAAAGCAGCACCCGGGACAGGACTGAAGCAGCCAGACTGCTTACTTCATGCAGAAGCCATCCCACAGCACAGCTGCCTGGAGCTGCATCCAAGGGGTAAAGTTCACTCCTCTACTCCTTTTCTCTGTCCTCATGTGTTATCCTTACACATTATCTAACAGAGCAGGCTTCATAACAGCACTCCTAAATACAGCAGAAATATAAGCTAAACACCAAATGATTTTTGGGCAGTTGATTGAGACACAGTCCAGGAATTAGTAGTTTAGCTCCACAGAATGGAAACAGAAGAATCACTGCTTTGAAAGATGGTCTGTCAAAAGCTTTTTCAGACTGTTGTCTGTAGTTCTCTTTTCCCTGGAGGAAGAAATGCTGCTGTTGCTGTCAACAACTTTGTATTTAACTGCTGTGGCAGAGAATGATGAGCCCACGTTTCATGAAAAATGGCACAGGAATTAAGCTGGGCCAAAGGAGTGTGAAGGTGGGTATGCAAGATTAGAATCCACTGGCCAGTATGGGAGTGGAAAAACTCACATAATTCCATACCACAGGGGGATGTTTAGCGAGATAAAGGGAAAAGGAACACACATGCCTTCAGCAACATCACAAAGGAATTCAGGAAGTCGTGAGGAGGAAAATGTCACAGCTTCATCCAAATTCAGTTGTCATGTTAATTGCACAGTGAGCTGCTCTTCCCTTCAGAGGCTTCCAGAAGGAAACACACCGTTTGAAATACTGTTCTTATAAGAAAGATAACATCACCTTACTCAGAATCTCAACAGCTGTAGATTTAAGTGCTGTGCAAGTGGTGTTTTTCGCTTGTCTGTTTCTACAGTCAGAGCAGGTATGTACATTGAGTCTATGGAAACAGAAATCCTACACCAGAGTCATTCTAGTGCATGAGTCAGTGCAACCAGCCAACATCCCAGCCTCACAAAAATCCCCCTGTTCAGTGATACACTGCACTCCCACATGGAGATTTCTGTCTGTATATGACCAAAGGGTGAGCAAAGAAGAAGCGCGAGTCTCATTATCGGCTTGTGTCCAAATTTCCCTATCTGTAAAGAGGAGGAAATTTAAATAGGGTGATTAAGAGTCAGATCTTGAGTTTTGCTCATGTTTTTTGTGAAATGTGTAATAGGATTCCTCCTTCTACTCCGCTCATTTCACTTCACCTGGGAGGAAATTTTGCCCTCTCCACGCATTTACAGGCATGGCACACAGGTTTCCTAATCAAAGCCTGCTCAGCCCTCTCTCAGATCAGCACTCGAAGCCTAACTACCTTTTCACAGCTGAAAATAATTCTTTCACAGCCCTTAAGTGCTGTAATATGAATGTCCTGTTACTCGTTGCACATTTTGTCCCGCAGAAGTTTCAAACAAATGTAACTATATACAAAATACTTTTTTTCCTCATCTACACCAAAACCGTTTAAATCCATCCAGCTTTTTGACATCAGTAGCATAACACATTAAGTACTCTGGTAATCAACCAGCTAATCAACCTAACAGCCTTCACTTTGAAGTTAAACCAGAACATCAGAGGGCAATTCCAATCCTGATTAGCATGAAGTTTCTCAGGCAGAGAAAACCCAAGCACTAGGTTTGTCAGTGCAGCTGAAACACCATTCCCCAGTGCTGGGAAGTCCCATCACACTCACTGAGCAGACAGACAGGAGGTTTTAGCTTGCACACAAGGCACCACAAGTCCCTGGGCCACCAGAGGTATTCTTTTTCCTCTATTGCAACAACATTGTGTATTGTTTGACAAAAGACAAGAAGGTGCTTTCCAGGCTAACCAGTAATGCTGTGCTGTCCAATCGTTACTTATGCTGCTGGACTCCAGAACGATCCATCTGTAATGATCCAACTCTCAGACCCAAGGCAAACCAGACACAGGCAGGGCGATGGAGTCCCTACACTGCTTTTCCAACTAAACCATAATGAAACCGCTCTTCAGTGGGCAACCTGTGCCACATTGCTATTTACACTGTTGTGTTACAAAGCAATAAGGTTAATCTGTGATAACACAGTCAAGTCAGAGTGGCAAACTCCTGCAAGCATAGTGCACGTTATGATTCACATAAACATTTTCAAAACAGAACTAGAAGCCTTTCATGCTTTAAATTATTGTGTGCAATAAAGCTCAGCAGTCTGACTTGTGAAGTCCCACAGTACCATGGAGTTCAGCCAGGACTTTTACAGATTTTCTGCTCCAGCAAAGAGCCACAGGATTAATTCAGGTTTCCTAAATCAAAGGCTAAATGGTACATGAGATATCTTCCAACTGCCTGCAAAATTACACTCACTGAGGTAACGAGAGGGAATAAGACTAGGCATTGTACCCTACTTGTCTAAAAAGTGAGATGATACCCATGCATTTGGCAAGCGCAGAGGACCTGCTACATAGGAACTTACGAGTTATGATGCAGAAAGTGTTGAGTATTAATTAGTAAATATTGAAAACAATTTTTGCATGACCTCTCCAAGAGGATTCCTACCAAGCAGCCAGAGAAATCAGTGCAGAGGGCTATTCAGATCCCTTTCCTCACTTGAAGTTGTTAACCTAATGAAACTGCTTTCAGCCCAGCTGGGACAAAGCCAGCAGAGGGCAATGCCTTTAGTGCCACGCAAACAAACCACAGGCAAAACTTTGCTTTTTTCTTCACCTGGCCCATTAAGAACAGTTCTGTACATACAGATGTATGAGTCAAACAGATTTCTGGGTTAGACCTGTGGAGCGACTTTAGCTGATTTGTTTATGAAGCCATACTTGCAGTTCCCAGGCAGATTAATCAATGGTCTGACAACTGATAAGCACTATGCTCAGCAGCATTTGCATTGTTAGGTGTACAACCATCAACACCATGGCTCCAGCCTGGCAAAACATATACAGTTACGCAAACTTATTTTAATTAATAGCTATAAAACACTTTCATTCCAAAGCTATCAAAAAGCAAGTCAAGAAAAAGCAACAGGAGATTCATGCAGAACTCATAACTGTGAAAAACAACTTCTGGTTCCTTCTAAAAACCTGCAAGGGTTCCGCTGAGATGCTGCCATAGCAGGGTCAAAGAAAACACTAGGACAGAAAGCACTTCAAGAAGAGGCAGGAAAAATATGGTTAAGAACAAGCATCATTTCTGCAGTGCCTCCAAACTGTATTTTATTATCATCTACATCTGTTGATGCTTGTTAGCAGTCTGCTTGCAGCTAGCTTTTGCAAAATCATTTGAGACACCAGGAAAATAAGCAGTGAACTGAGCACACATTCTGAAACAGCTCAGGCATTTCCCTTTTCCACTCTGCCTCACGTTCACTTTTCTTTTTGATATGCCTTATACTCAGAATCTTGCACCCCTAGTTCTCCACAGACCAGACTTAAAAACATTTTATGCTTGCTTAGCTAATGTGTGCTGCAGAGAAGCAAAAGTTACCCTTGTTGACATATTAAGGTCATGGAAGTTCAATAAGAAGAAAAAGCATGTTTATCTCAGCCATTTTTTTTCACTCAGTATTCTAGTATTTACTGAGCATGCTTTCTTAAATATAGCATCAAACCTTTAAAACAGAAAGCAGCATTGAAATGCTAAAGCACTACAAACCTCAAACCACCACTTGCACACCCTGCCTGAGCTCTGCAGGCCTCCAGGTGCTTGGAAGAGCTGGAAGGCTATGCCCAGAGCAATACCTGCCAGGAAAGAAGTCACATGCTTGCTTTGATCAGCAGACTTCTGGGACTTCTTTTTTGATAGCAGCAGACTGTGGGGCTGTGTTTTTCTGGCCCCTTCGCCCTTAGGAAGGCAATGCCGTTCACCTGCAGGTGCTAACACAGCTGGTGGCTCATGGTTTCCCTGCCTACAGCAGTACTCGGCCTGCAGAATTCATCAGAGGACAGAGCTACTTCCAGTGAGCCCTAACTGTTAGGTGTAAGGGGTATAATTAGATCACTGTCCTCCCACCTACAAAGGAAATTTCTGTCTCAGCATGAGAAGACCCACACTGACCGCTGTAAACCAGCTTACGCTGATGGAAGTACGACCACAATCGTAACTTCCTACTCGTGCTCGTAAGTTCGCTGTAACCGTGCAGATCTGCCAGTCTCTAAGAGGGAGGCTCTTAGTTTCTGAAACAGCAAAGTTTCCCGCAGGACAGTCTTACAGAGCCTTCCAGCTCCCTGTCACGCCGGGTCCCTCGGCTGAGTGTCCCCGTTTCACAGCCAGACAAACGGCTCCCGCTCCCCCCCATGCCCATAGCAGCCACCACCCACGACACGGCCCTAGTGCGTACCGGCCGGCCCAGCGGCCGGGGCCCAGCACCCTGCCGTCCTGGCACAGGGCTCACTTTCAGTTTCGGCGGAGCTCAGCCCGACGCGCCCCGGCCACGGAGCCGCCCTCCATCAGCACCGCGGCTCCCACTGGCGATGCCCAAGCGACGGAGCGCACTCTCGCCGAGGTCCGGCAAACCCACGCCGCCTCGCACCCCGTCCCGCCGGTCCCGAGCACCGCGCCCCCGCGCTACCGGTGTTCCACGGCGGGATGCGGCCGCGGCACGCGGTTCGCCGCCCTCGTCGGTCCCGGTCCGCCGCGATCTCGGCGCCGCCCTCGCGGCCGCCGACCCCCACTCACCGCCAGCCCCGCGGGCCGCTCCGCTCCTCGCCGGACGCCGCTTCCGCCTTCTCCTCGGGACGAGCCGGGGCGGCGGCCGCCTGGGCCCGAAGCCGCTGCAGCGCCCCCTACCGGCCCGGTGGATCCGCCCGCCTAAGGCCTGCAGTGCTGCCGCCTTCCGCTTCGGCCGCCTGCGGAGGGATAAAAGTACGCCGTAGCGCGGCGATGTGAGACGTAGCAACGCTGATAGGAGAGCAGGTGCAGAAAGCATTGATTGATAGGGCGTGACGTGATTAGGGAAAGCCGTCCCACCTGGAAACAACGCGCTGCAGCCTGGAAGCATCTGAGCTTTTCAGTTAAATCCTCGCGGCGCGCGCGCTGCACAAGCGAAGGGCTCGAGTCCTGCCCGGTGGCAGTAGCCTCTCGGCTACGTGGGGACGTGGCCGGGCTCGCTTAAGGACACAGTGCTACCTGAGGCAGTGGGGATGTTGGCTTTTCCCAGTAGCGTGTGACAGTGGGTGGCTCTAAGGAAGTGAAAAACTAGGACGGCGCGAATGTAAACGCAGCTTCGTTTCCCTAAACCCAGAGAAGGGGAATTTTGCTGTATGCATCTGTGCCTTCCTTGGCAAGCACCCAAGGCTTGCGTGTGCTAACTCAGAGAGCACTTTGTTCTGGGGTCCCAGATCTGCAGTGAAGAACTAGGCCCTGGAACACTCCTGAGCTCCTACCCTTGCCAGCCAAAAGTGCCTGAGTGCCAGATGGTGCGAGCAGGAGGCTGCATCTGGAGAAAATCATGGGTTTGTCTAGTCCAACGGTCTGCCACCAATATTGCCCACTGAACTATAGAATTGTAGATGTTGAAAGGGACCTTTAAACATCATATAGTCCAACTTGCCTGCAGTGAGCAGGGACGCCTACACGAGATCAGGTGCTCACAGCCCCATCCATCCTGACCTTTGGTGTCTCCAAAGATAGGGCTTCCACAACCTCTCTGGGCAATCTGTGCCAGTACCACCCTTACTGTAAAAAATATTTCTCCTATCCAGTGTAAATCTCTCTTCTTTTTGTTTGAAAACATCTCCCCTTGTTCTGTCATAGCAGTCCCTGCTAAGGAGTCTGTCCTCTTCTTCCTTACAGTCTCTCTTTAGATACTGAAAAGCCAATATCGGGTCTTCCTGGAGCCTTCTCTTCTTCAGGCTGAACAGCCCTAGCTCTCTCCACCTATCCTCACAGGGGAGATGTTCCATCTCTTGGATCATTTTTGAGGCCCTCCTCTGCTCATACTCCAACAGGTCTGCATCTCTGCTGTACTCAGGACTCCATGCCAGGGTGCAATACTCCAGGTGAAGCCTTGCCAGCACAGAGTAGAGGGGCAGGATCACCAACTTCGACTGCTGGCCACTCTTCCAAAAGAAGAGTGCAGCCCAGGATATGTTTGCTTTTCTGGGCTGTGAGGGCACGTTGCTGGCTCATGTCCAGCTTGCCATCTGCCAGTGCCTCAAAGACCTTTTCAGGAGGGCTGTGCTCCACTTTCACATCCTCCAGCTTGTTCTGATAGCAGGATTTGCTATGACCCAGGTGCAAGACCTTGCACTTGGCTTTGTTGAACCACATGAGGTTCACCTGGGCCCACTGCTCGAGCCTGTCTCTAAGTGCCACATCTACACATTTTTTGAACATCCTCAGAGATGGTGACTTCCCCACTTCCCTGTTCCAATGACTCACCAGTCTTTCTGAGAAAAAGAAGTCCTAATATCCAACCTAGCCTGCTTCCTACCTCTGTGCAACTTGAGGCCATTCTCTCTCATCCTATTGCTGGGAGAAAAGGCCAATCCCCACCTTATTATAAACTTCTTCCAGGGAGTTGTAAGAAGCAGTAAGACCTCTGGAAGCCCTGAATGCAGCCCTCTGAGTGCCAATTTTGGCCATGAGATTGTTACATTTTTTTGTCAGGTCTTCATCTGGGACTCTGACATACCACAAGAAAGAAGTAGTTATACTAAGAATAATTTAACCAACTTTGTGGGTGGACCCTTTGCTGGACAACTAGCTGAATTTCAGAGGCATCCTTATTCCCAGTGAAGTTGAAAAACTAGATGTTATTTTCATTATCTGTAAAATGAGGAAATGTATAATAGATTTGTAAAATAGATATCCCTCAATGGAGTTTTCTGTGACAAAATCCCACAATTTTTAGTCATATATCAGGTAGTCAGAGCATTGATGTCCAGTTCATTTTGATTAGAAAGGAACACAAGAAACATAGGAGCTTTTATCTCAAATGTGCATGAAATGTCGTCAGTCAGTGCAGTTCCCAAATATTTATGGTTTTTGGCAGACTTGGCCAATAGTCACGTACCCATGACCATAATGCAACATAAAATGGTGCATAAATGCTTTTTCTCCACATGGTGGTGACAGTTGCACAGGGAAAATACTTTCCAGCACTGACTGCACAGCTCAAACCGCCGAGCAATTATGTTCATACACACATAAACCACATTCAAAGCTGTTTCAACTGGAGATCAATTAAAACCTTATTTACCTGAGCATCCCTTCCAGAAAACATTTTTTCAAGGTGATTTTTCCTGAGTATGCTAGAAGTAAAGTGCGGGACTGCTTACATATGCTCACCTGGCTGAGCTGATGATCAGATTGCTCTCATCCAGCGCTGTTCACACAAGACTTCAGTCTCACAGGGAATGGGGCTGGTAGGCAGCTGCCTGGACAAGGTTTTGAATGAGTCCTCCAGCAGAGGGACAGGTTTGCTAGACTGCTTCTCTGAGAGCCCCTGATCCCTCAATGCATATTGTCAGCGAGCTGCATCTGCTGTTTCAAGATAAGGGAGGAAACCAGTATGAGCCTGCAGAGAGTTACTTTGATATCTGGTGTTGCAGCCTGACCTGATACCTTTTTGAAAAGGTCTCTCCAAATGCTAGCGAGGGGACAGTGAAGGCAGGCAGGTTGTGGGGAAATCCTGGCAAGATAGGGAGAGCAGAAATGCTGTGCTTAGGGCTGGGCCATGACACCTTCTCACTGGTGAGCGAACACCAGAGTCAGGACAACCTTACTCTAACCTGCCTTGCCTGGGAGTGACTACTGTGATTTCTGTTCCACCTTGTCCTGACACTCAGGTGCACTTGTTTCTACAGCAGCTCTGAGATTTTGGTCAGAATCTGACCAAGGGTATCAGAGTTTGCAACCAAACTTTGTTTTCTTTGTCATTACGTTACTTGATTTGGCACAAATAATTGCACTTAGTTACTGAGGAGATATTGGCATCTCCTGGGACGTACAGTGTGAAATGAGTGACTGACCCAGGTCTAGCTTCACTTCTCTATGACTTGTCATCTTGCAAGAACAGGAAGGAACTGTTCTACAAGATCAAAGCTGATAATAGGAGGGAATCCTGTAATCATTTTTACCTATAGCAAGTGTTGCTACTGCAAACTCCTACTTCCGGAGTGTGAGCATATGTTCACTTTGGGAAAGCTTGGTGGGTCATTACATTTTGTTGCATAATGTTTTTTGAGGAGACCAAAATCCTTCAAGGTGCTCTTATGTAACAGAATTTGTTTTCTTTTCACTTGGAGTGAGTTTCTGAGACATACGTGCTTTGTCAAAACTGAGCGTGAGCACTGAATTTTACTGCCCACCATCTGTGGACACTTGCCTATGCCTATGTACTATCAACCAGTTACTCAGAATACAGAACTAGTTTTTATATTGTTGATTTGTTCTCTTGTCGAGTACCTTTAGGATACCATCAGGAAGGTAAAATCTCTGAAAGTGAGATAGTGGGATCAGAAGAAAAGACATTGTGTGGTCCCAGACCACAGAGGACTGGCTGCTGTTAACAGAGGAAGCAGGCCTCTGGCCTTCAGTGAAACAGCTTTGGTGTGCGACTGTAGTGTGACCAGACACCAGGTTCTTCTCTCTGATAGCTGACAGTGAAGAAACTAGCTCTGAAGCTAGAAAGAAGAAAGCCAAATGCAGAGCTTTGTCCTAACACTGCAGGTGCTCCTCAGAAAGGCTGCATGCTTATCTCTGAGCCCTAGAGTCTCGCACAAGAAGACCTTGTTTTTATGAATTTTGTGGTTAAGCCTCATAAATTGCCAGGTGCCACCTGGATTTGAAAGTTCTGCATTGTGTTTAGTTGAAGTAACCTGTGGTTAGCACCAAAGTGGTACTGGGAGCTCAGAGGCACAAGGATAAGTGAGATAAACAGCATTGCAGTGTCTTTAAAAAGCAGAGGGGACAAGGAAAGAGCAAGAGCACACGGGAGAGCAAGCAAGCTTGACATGTGGAGCAAACTGAGCAGACATAACAGCAGCTCTGCATACTGACAGGGAGCTAAAGGTAGGCTGGCTGCACTAATGGCAGCAACTCAAATGCTTGTAAGACAACTGAATGTTGATTCATTTTCCTGTTTTAATGCACTAGTCAATTTTTTTCTATATATGCAGTGAGACTGTTCATAAAGCAAGGTCTTCCTTGACATGACTAACAGTACCACAGTTGTGCTTTTCTTCAGAAGTGTATGAAATATTGTGAGCTGGGAAGAAAAGGGATTTCTTTTCCCTTTTCAAGGTAAAAAGAGGTGATACTGAATACAGCTGTCAGAGTTGATTAAATAACCGTGGCTGGGGTTCACGGCTGGGGTTCACTCTGTAAGAATCTGAGTGGGATAAACAGTGAGGAGGATTGTTCATTGTGACCCACAACTAGAATAACAGACCAAAGGCAAATCTAGCATGAAATGTTCCTAGCACTGGGGATATTTCTACCTCTCCCAGCAGAGCCGCTTCAAACTCCACTGCCTGGCATCCAGGCCATTTAAAGTGTCTGATGAGTAGCCTGTTGGCTGCTACTATCTCCTGAAGGAGGCTAAGGTCGGGTGACCTAAGAGGGCTCTTTATCATTCATTTCTTCAAGGGAATGTTCAGTGTAAGAGAGAGAGGAAAAAACAAAAAGATCATTGCACTTTTCTTTAACGAGGGTAAAGCTTCATTTGAGTTGGTAATTAATAGGAATGGCCACAGGTTTGGGGATTAGTAAGGCACTAAGCTGGCACTTAGTCTAAGGGAT